CATCAGTTCCTATCTATTATTCGGTCTCTATATTACTACATGCTTTTGATAGCGTCTATGTTCTTGAAGTTTCCAGAAAATTTTTCGAACGTCGGCAAGGAGGTTCGCGGTTGCATAAATAGTTCCGCGACTTCCTAAAGGATTTTTCATAAGTGTGTATTATTGGTGAAAGAAGTTTGATCGTTTCGTATGAACGAATTAATCCTTTATCAAAATTAACATTTAATTCTTCATCGTGCATCAATCAAGCACTCATCCGATAGACACGACGACATTTAATTTGTAATTAAATGTAGAACTATCAAAAGAGAAGAGAAGAGAAAGAAAAAAGGAAAAAGAAAGAGAAAGAAAGAAAGAAAGAAAGAAAGAAAGAAAGAAAGAAAGAGAAAAAAGAGAAAGAAAACGCTATTCTCCTATTACATACAACTGCCTTGTTACGCTCAATAATAGCTTCTGAGCATATTAATTAATGTAAGTATTTTTCTTTTTTGAATTAAATTTCGCATCATTTATAAATATAATCCACGTTATAATTCAATCATTTACATGTTCGCCTGTCTAACGAGTGATATACGAAGTTAAATATATCGTAGGTTATGTTAAATATATACCATATTCTTCTTTTTTTTTCTTTTTTCCTTTTTCCTTCCCTCCCCCTCACTCCTCCCCACCCTCCGTTACTTTTCACATTATTAACAACATTTTCGTAATATCATACTTTATTTAACTTTATTAAAGTTATCATCGACTTTTACAAGCAATTATTATGTTACATTATTTTAATTAGAAATAATGATAGTGATTTATATATATTAAAAGTATATGAATAAGATTTTAATGATTTGAAGAATTTAATCCCTTTTCCCTATATATAGACGTCCAATGATTTACCTGTTTATGATCATGATCATGTGAATTAAAATGTAGATCTTATGAATTCCTACATATATATATATGTTCAATGTTCAATGTTGTTCTCAATGATTTGTAAAATATCGTCATTGTATTCTATATAAATAAAAGTAAAGTATTATCTTGCGAATTGTATAAATATAAACGTTGTTTTTATATTTATAAATATTAATAGAAAATTTAATTATATTTTCAGAACACAGTAGCTGTATAAAATTGTAATACTTGTTCATTTACGGCAACTTCTATTGCCTTACTTTAGTTTTATAAAAATGGCAAAGTGGGGAGAAGGTGATCCTCGTTGGATCGTAGAAGAAAGACCAGATGCCACCAACGTAAATAATTGGCATTGGTATATAAATATACATATACATATACATATATATATATATATATATATATAAAATATTTATAAAGAAATACATTCTATTATATATCATATCTTAAAATAATAATTATTATTATTTTTTTTTTTTTTTAACAAAACCCTTAGGACAGAAAAAAATGCTTGTGCCTGGTCTCAAGAAAAGATCAAAGATCTTTTTACAAATTTGAACATCGATGGCAATGGAGGTAATGTGTGAGAATATGATAATTATAATGAAATAATAATTATTTATAATATATTTATTTATTTATATCTCTCTCTTTTTTTTTTTTTGTTTCATTTATTTCAGTATCCTGTAAAGTGTCAGAAGTAGAAAAGTGTGAAGGGGAGGCTGTAGCAAATAATAGAAAGGGAAAACTTATTTTCTTTTATGAATGGAATATT